GAATCAGCCGGAGAGAAACTCCTTGTATTTAGTCAATACTTGCTACCTTTGAAATATTTAGAAAGGTTAACCGTTCAAAGTAAAGGGTGGAGTCTAGGAAAGGAAATATTTGTAATCTCAGGAGAATCGAGCTATGAGCAGCGAGAATGGTCCATGGAAAGATTTAACAATTCTCCTGGTGCCAAAGTCTTCTTTGGCTCCATCAGGGCTTGTGGAGAGGGCATATCATTGGTCGGGGCATCACGCATAGTTATATTGGACGTTCATCTTAATCCTTCAGTTACTCGCCAAGCTATTGGTCGTGCATTCAGACCTGGCCAGTAGAAGAAAGTCTTTGTGTATCGATTGGTGTCTGCTGATTCTCCAGAAGAGGAGGATAACAGCATTTGTTTCAAGAAGGAATTAATTTCAAAAATGTGGTTTGAATGGAATAAGTATTGTGGTGATCGAGCATTTGAAGTAGAGGAAGTTCTTCTGAAAGAGTGTGGCGATCTTTTTCTTGAGAGTCCATTACTTGGAGAAGATGTAAAAGCTCTGTACAAAAGGTCAGTGACCATTCCCCCCAATTTTTGTATATAATATACTCTGACAATCACACACTTTTTTTTTTCTGATGTTTGTTTCTTTCTATGTCAGGTAGGATGGGTAGGCAATTATTTTTCACTTTCATGTGATTGTGAGTAAAATTTTCTGAACTTGTTTGTGTTGCTTTAACCCTGTTCGCTTACTATTTACCAATCATACAGTTTCGTTTTAATATTTGTTTTAGTTGTACGTGCCTGGTAGAAATTGGCTTCCGATGAACAGTAATGAGTTGACAAATATTTTTCGAGATTTTCTGATTGTTCAGATTCAGGTTTGTATCTTTGTTCAGATCAATGCAGGATTACTGAGAATTGAATGAGGTTTTCTTTGAGTCTTTATTTCTTTCTGATGTTTCATGCTGTTCAATTTTGTGAAGTTTATTGTAACAAATAGCAATTCTATTATTGTAGCAATTCAAAATGCTTCAAGTCTTTTTTGTATGATTGTGTGCTAAGAATGCTTTTTCTTGGAAGACATGTATGTATATAAACTTTTATAAAAAAATAAAAAGAATTTCTTACCAATTAAAATATATTTTATGCCCATTAAATGAAGACTATAAAAAGAAATACGAATTTATATATACTAAGTATATATAAATTCTTTACTGTTAGTGCATTCTTGGGTTGTAGAAAGAAATTTTCTTACGTAAATTTCTTTACTAGTAAATTCTTTCTACTCAGGGGAGGTTCTGACTTATATATCTGTTAATTATTTTAGTAAAGTACCTTACGTAAATAATTTATTTAGTATTATATTTTTGTATCTTTAATAAAGTATTATAATTTGTTCCATTTACTGTAAAAATTGTACTTTTTAACTATTTAGATAAAATGTCATTTTTTTTTCTTTTATAATATGAAATTATAACATGAAGTTATAAAAGTTTTATTTGCAATTAAATTATTTAGAATAACTCAGTATTTTCTTATATCCCTTTGTGAATTAAAGGTTATTAACATTTGTTGGTGACAATTTGGGGAGTAATATATATTTTATTTTGACTCATATATTTTATTTTGACTCAGTAGAATTATGTATTATAATGAATGAAATTTTTTTGTAACATTGTGGCTAATATAGATAAAATTTTTATTATAATTTTTTGAAAGTTGATCTTGTTGCATAAGTTGATAATTATTAACATTTAACAAGTCTTCAAAAAATCTTTAGCTTATCTTGTATACATATATTTACCATATATTTTTTGCATTATTTTAGAAAAAATTAAAATCTTGGATTAATTACGCACACAAACAGTAGGAGGGATTTTGTTTTTTCAAAGCAAATTTACAGAAATGCTGAAATTTAATGAACGTAAATTGGACCCAGATTTGTATAGACTCATTGGAAAATTCTTTCTACACATTAATATTTTTGTCCTAGATCCTGAAACCTATATCCTCGTGAATAAAAAATTGTCATTTTATTTTTTCGAAATTATAGAATCCTTTGAGTAAACAATCTAAAAGTCAATTTTAAATTCCTATTCATAAAGTCTATAAATCATTTTTGACTTCCAAAAAGGGCAAAATGAAAATTTTAATATTCGTAGGGTGCAGAAAAGTACGGAGGTGTCCCTTGTTTTAATCGAATGTGCTACTTACAAGAAAAGGACTAGGGAGACTGAGTTCATGAACAATGGGCATGATATCACCTCGTAAACTGAAATGCAAAGTCAGACAAAAAAGGTGCTTTATTCTTTGCTTAATTGTATAAAATTACATATTGCGAACAAAGTCAACAAAATGTATTCGTCATAATTCGCATACAAAATTCCTAATCATGTCTAAGAATACAACTTCTTTCTTCCTCACAAAACAGTACACCTTTTTAGTATAATATCTTTGGTTCCCAGTGAGGTTGTGGGTGATTAATTGATTTACTTCATGGATACAAAGTACATTGCAGTAAGAATTGAAAAAATTAAAAAATAATAGCACAAAAATACAGAAGAGCGAAAGATGAAGGAGACCTTAGCAAAGAAGGAGCTTTTTTTCACAGGCCATCAACTAAAAGGCTTTATTTAAACTTCTACTGTTGTGTATGATTGTTTTGATTTGTTCTTTCTCTCTTCCACACAATTACTACGCCTTAAAAATCAGATGAAGCCAATAAATTTTCTCCATGGTTCCAGGCAATACCCAGCACAGGAAACCCATGACCCTGCATTGCATTTACAAAAATTTTATGTATTTTGAGCTTGATTATAGCATTGATACCACTAACAAGTCATATTAATTTAAGAAAACCAAACTCAATCCCGTTAATTTCGGGTTGGAGATGAAAAATCATGATTGGAAGAGAAAACTCAACTAAAGATGACGACTAATCAGGTTCTCTATCGGAGATCAGTCATCAGTTTTTGAAAAAAAATGAAAACACCTTCGATGAAAGGAAGACTAACCTGTAGCTTGTTCACACATGTATTTTTCGGCCGAGTTAAATCATAAAAGTAGACATTTGAGTCCTCACTTCCAGCAACTTCACATGACAACAAAGGATAAGATAATGTAAGAAAGACAATCATTGTAATGTTGCTTAAGTTAATGTATTTAAGAAAAACTCAGTTTGCAGTACTTGAGTCTCCGTTTCCATTGAAGTCTCAATGCAAGCATTATTTACATCTCGTTTGGGTAAACATTTTTGCTACTTAAAGTAAATCAAATTTCTCCTGAAAGTTAAATCACAAATTCATTGATTTTAACGTGTGAAAGAAACTTAAGTTCATTTCTTTTCTTATAAATACTCATAGAGAAGTTGAGAAATTCAAGCAGAGTACATAATCCTTGACTTATTTTCTAGTTTTACGCAGGCAGAGTTTGGGTTATTTAAAACAACCAGATTATTATTTAAAAGTCCTTCTTCAAGAGACGGAAGAGGGAGGAAAAAGGAGAAGAAAAGTAGTACGCAAGAATGATATCAACATACCTATGAATTCTCCTTTTTCAAGGGATAGGAGAGGACATAAAGAAGCTCGAAATTTGTGTACACGTGGAGCTAATTTTAGCGAGCATCGAAGAGTTAAATAGCCATTTATCTCCGAAGCCACACTACAATACACAAATATTAGTGCTCCAAAGAAAAATGAGATCAAAAAACGAGAACTGAATGCAATCGGGGTGATTGAAAACTTTTTCTGAACCTGAAGAAAGACAGGTTTCCATCCTGGGTACATGTCAACAACACAGGTCCGCGAGCGAGTAGAGAGAAACTCCTATACTGCACTGTGGTAACAGGAGATTTGGGCTTGCTACTATTTCTATAACGATGGGAGCGAGATAATACACCTGTGTGAGAGTTCATATTTACTGAGTATATACATCCCTGCACATAGAATCCAGTACCTAAAGAAAATGAGATCAACATAACAATTAGGATATACAAAACAAAATACATGTGCATATATAGAGCAGCTCACCTGTGCATCTCCACAAAATAAGAGAAGTCCTGTATGGTCATGATCCAAAGAGGTAACTCCACTGTCAAATAGTGATTTATTAATTACCCTTCCGGTACTAAAATTGAACACCTGATACATCATATCATTTTTAAGAAAAATAATAAATTACCGTAAAAGTAAATGTATGTAAAAAATGACAACATCATAGCGGAGGATTTTATGGGGGAAAGGAGTAAAATGTACATACAGTAGCTAAGCCACAAATATTTAATAGTGGGAATATTTATCAAATCATAAATGAAAAATATGTGTTTGATGAATTGAAGTGACTGTCATTGCCTTCCTTATTCTTATTCCAGTGTCTGAATAACAAACAAACATTAAATGACTCAATCATATGATCTATGAACCTGCTTGAATATTGGGAGTGGGAAGGAAATGACGGGAAAGGAACAATGCTCCCTATTTAGGAGGTTGAAATTTTGTGGAAGGGAAAGTGTCTGAGCCGTTCCCTCGTAACAAAGGGATAATGAGGAGTTACTTTTATATCAAAAATAATTGACATTTACTACTTTACCTTCATAAATGAGTAACTTAATAAAATGGTTATATTTAAATTTGCCAGCGCACCACTTATTAACCACAAAACCTTCCTATTTCTTCCCTCATTAATATCCAAACACAGAAAGGTAACTCTATTCCCTGTACATGTTACTCCATTCTCTGTGAAACATTCGAGCATAACAATAGCACCCAACAACACAAACAGTTCTCTATACTTTACAAACAAAGAACACAATGCTTCTTCAATAACATTTAAGGTCTGAGCGATTCCACCAGATCAAAGTCATTTCAGGTTTACCAAGCAAAAACAGAAATAACTAAGATTAACACACTGCAATAGAAAAGCTTCAGCAAAGGTGTCAAACATGATACTTTCTTCTCTAAAAATAACAAAATGGAAACAATTAATATATTTACATTGATTTCTTTGTTTGCATTTCCAACTGAAAGGAGGTTGTTATTTACCTGCACCAAATACAGAAAAAATACAGGCTTCAGTAGCAACCAAGAATGGAATCAAAAGAAAAATTATTTACCAATATAAAAGATCCAAATCCACATTCATAATGATATAGGAAACCGTATCTTTGGAAAAATTGGACAAGTTGCAAAAAATATCTATTTTTAGTAGATGAGAGGAAGAAGGAAATCTGAAGCAAATTGTTGTAAGTTACCCATTCTTTCCTAACTGACAAACTCACCTCCTCCCCTGCTCACCCTCTATCTTAGAAAAAAACGAATTTTGATTCTCTGCTGTATTTTCTGGTGTTGTCCTACTGTACCTTCAAAATACACTGATTTTTATATTTTAAAATATAAAAAAAAATCTTTTAATATATTAAATCAATATATTTTAAAGGCACAAGACAACATAACAAATCCGGTAGAGAATTTGAACCCAGGAAAAACATTCAATTTCGCTAGATGTAATAGATGGAAAAATTCTGCATGCTAAATGCACAGCCTCCTTCCCTCACTATTTTATCCTTCAGAGCATATTTTAATTTGTTGCAGTCTCAAGCATCACCAATCCAAAATAAAACCAATGTGTACGGAGAAAGTCTTAAATTCTTTAACAAGGGCTACAGAGAAAAGTACTGGTCCACCTCATCATTTTCTCTTTTTGAAAACAGATTTGGTCAACAAAAAAAAGAAAAGATGAGAGAGAGAAAAACTACAAATAAATCAAAGATCAAGATCACAATGAATGTCTGAGTACTTGTGCAAACAATGAGAGAGATTCAATTCCACCCATCTTCAATCTACGAAAGTCAATTTATCACTTCCCTCATTGTAAAAAATGGCTATTAGAACTTCTAGAAAAATATATAGACATAGCAGTGAAAATCTAGTAAATTGAATACACAAAGCAAGAAATAAAAGGCAGAGAAGGCTACTCTTCATATAAACATGAAATTTACCATGAAATTACCAGAATATCTAAAGTTTTCAAATCTTAGACGAGGGTATTTTGTCCAATTATTGAAGAAGGCAATGGTATCCTCTGAAGAGATGGGAAGGCTAGCATTCTTAATAAAAGAAACAAGAAACCCTTATACATAAACACAGACCCAGACACAAACACACACACACCCACACCCAATTATACTTACAGGGTGAAAACGGATACACAATTGTGGACATACTCCATATATCACCCGTATGCAAATACCTTTCGCTATCTCCCATACTCTCACAGTTTTATCCCATGAAGATGATGCAATGTATTGATTATTTGACGTAAAATCAAAATCTGAAAATGAACAAAGCATATGAGGTCAGGTAATAAACTAGGGAGCATTACAATTTAGGGAATTTTGGAAAATCATAATTCCACAGTAAGAATAAGTGACAAATTCAGTAAGAATAATTAATTAATGGCTGCAGTTTTTTTCTGAAATCTGGCTAATTTGATCTCCAATTGGAAAAAGTGCAGGACAAGGTTTATTGATCCATAAAGCCCCAATTAAAAATAATACATTAGGTGATATTTGCCAAGCGCACTTGATCGTATATGTCATGCAGCATTAAATATAGATCAAGTAAACAAGGACAGTTTATCCAACCTGTTACATCTTTGGAATGCCCTTCTAATTGTTTTATGACTGACGGATTCTCAGATACATTGCAGACAGTTAAGGTTCCATCAGCTGCCCCATAAGCAAGTAAATCAGAACTCTTGTGCCCAAACTTCAACACCGAAACTACACATAAAGATTTTCAGAATTATTCCACCATGAAAACCAAGTAAAACAGAACCCGGGTAAAAAAAGACAAATTTATATTGGACTTACCAGAGGCTTTGCACTTGTCAAAGATACAATGCATTCCAACAAAAGAATAAGCGGACTCAGCCCTACGGTGTCTAGGAGGATCGGAATCACTTACACTTGACCCAAAACTCGATCTATGATTATGTACTGGATTTGCATTTTGCAGATCCTACAAATTTGAAAAATGACACAAAAAAAAAAGTAAACAAGCATGAAATTTAAACTAATACTCACAGCATATGAGCTAAACAGTACAAACCTACTCCAATTTCAAAACAATTAAACAAACCTCCAATTATCATGGGCTAACATAACCCACATATCCCTTTACAGTACAAACGCATAAAGTATATCTATTTCATTAGTGTAGTCTTATGTAATATATAAACCAATAAGTTAGCCCATGTAAATTTCCCCCAATCCAGGAAGCTTAGGTGTATTTACTCTGACTAACAGCAACTTCCATAATTGTAGTTTCAGCAACAAGAAGCATTGAGCAAAACATACTAATATCAAGAAAGTGACAATCAAATCTACTCAACAAATTATAGGGTTGGTTCAGAGCCAATAATCAGTGAAGAATATAGCGTATCATCTATGAGCAACTTTAACAGCTTTATGACAAATAAAAAGTTATCTAGCATTTTTCTAATGAATCTAATTTGGTTTCTGAATGCTTTCTTTAGCTCTGTTACAAACTTTTCCATCCTAAAAGAATGGGAAAAAATAACTAAATAAACGTAAGAATCCCACTTGACCAGGTGCCACATCAAAGCATAATCAGCACTTCCTAGACAACAGCACTATCAGTTCAAATGAATGTCTGGTTATCCTATCAGATATTATGGTACACTCTCATATACTTAAATTAAAAAGTATAAATCCCATTAACAGAATATGTCTATCTGTTCAAAATTTTAATGGATATGGCATTTTTCTACCCAATTAAGAGTTAGAAGTTAAAGACAAAAGGTATGCCCAATACAGGTATATTGCAACAAAATCTACAGCACACAACTTACCCTCCCAGAACTCAAGCTGTCCACCTCAGACCAACGGGAATGTGGACTTGGAGATGGAAAAAATCGGCCACTGATGCATCAACCAGTAAATTATCCTGATGTCAGAATTGTATGGAAACATAAATTTAAACTAGTACCGTGAATGAGAAAGCTGCATTGACATAAAATGTGGTTATAATTACAAATAGAAACTCAAATTGAAGAAGTAACCACAAAGAAGTACATGGAATTCACATTAAAATGAGAAAGGAAGGCAATTGATGTGGAAAATCGTATAGAAATTAAGATAGTTTTTATATAAGAGACAAAGTACAAGTGTTGGAAAAAACCATACCATCCTAAATTAACCTAAAACATAACAGAGAAAAAAATAGGGAAGAAAATTAGATAGGCTAAAAACCAGCTTGCAACACAACCATCCATAAATCATAATCATCTTGTAAATATGTTTGAGATTACATGTGTAAAGAAAAAAAGTCATTTCAATGAATAACAATATCTGTCTTCCAGAATTTTCCATGCAGATCAAAGTTAATTTACTGTTCAACAACACATCCAGGTCACTTTGAAGCTACGTATCCAATCATGAGCATCTTTAATTCCTTATTTTATCCCCTTTTATCAACCATATCATGAAATTGTATGATACAAAATTAAGCGTATATGTGCTCATTAGTTCCAGTAAAAAAAGAAAAAACAGCAACCTGTTTCCTGGAGTACTGTGCAGACTAGGGGCTCGTGAACTATCCCTTTCCCAGTTTCTAGGCCTACTTAGGTAATTCCGGTATGCCACATAAGTTTTTCCATTGCATCTCCAATCCTTCAACACAATCACGTGTCCATAAGCGACATAGTAACAACAACACAGCCACAGGAGATAACACTTTCACAAGTAGTAATAATAATAAGAAAGACGGAACTCAGATCAGTTCCTCATGCACTTTTTATACCATTCTCTTATCAGAATTGAAGTTTCACCTCGGCAATCTTTGTAATATAAGGTGGTTTCACTAAAGGGAAACATGGATTACCCGTGTAAAACTCCAATTCTGATGAACTGCACTTGGAACTGTATATATAAATACTGTCCAATAATAATAATAATAAACCCAGCACTAAACGTAATTAAACATCGTTTATAACGATTGAGAACACTGTAATAACACGCAAGTCAACAAGCTTATAATCCAAAAGTCAAAATGTAACAATATGCAGACATAGGTCACACCAACGAAAGAAAAACTAAAAAACTAAAAAAAAAATCATCACCGGAAATAATGCAAATCTATCACGATTGATCTGGAAAAAGAAACAGAACTAGATGCATATAAGAGAACGAGATCGAGACGTGATTATAAGAAGAATTAAGCTACAAGCACTTAAACAATCTCCATTTTAAGATTATGATGATAAAATTATAAGAAACGTTAGATAGGAGTGCGAGTTCTGAACGGAGCGTACTCTGCGGTGAATAATTCCGGCCTCCGCCTTCCGAAGAAGGAGGAGGCGGCGAATGCCGATGTACTCGGGATCTCTGTCAGCTGTGGCTGGCTGAAGCAAACAGCAGAACAACTCTGGATCTGAACTCTCGTCTTTGTTGTCTACGTCGTTGTTGTCGTTGTGGCTGTTGAGGACGTGGTGTTTGTTTTGTTGCGGTTCTATTTCGCCGTCGTTGACGGCGGCGCTGCCTTGCTCCGCCATGGTGTTCTATATAGCGTTCATCGGAGAGCGGTGACCGAAACCGATTCTCCGGCGAACTTTGCAACGGTTAATCTATGAATGTTCGATTCTAATGCGAGAAATACATAGAGAGACAGCGAGAGATCGAAATTAACTGGAGAACTTACCAACCGGTGACCGGGGGGAAATTTCAGGGGAAAATTCAGAGAAAAATAAACATAGATAATAACTAAAAGTTGATTAAAAAACACATGTAATTTCTATTAAATGTTTAACACGAATACCTCTATTTTAAAAGATAAAATTTTATCAGTTAAAGTATAATTTATATATTACTTTTTATTTATATCAAATTTATGAAAATTAAATAATAAGATCAAAAGAATTAAATGATTTATATTTTAGCAAGCACATTATCAAATTAATTATATATATATATATATATATATATATATAAGTTGTTTATTTTAAGAGAAAAAAAAATCAAAAGTTACAAATAAATTTACCTTTTGTCCTTAACAACAAGCTGATTTCATTTATGTTTCTTTAGATCTGTTTAAAGCCATAAAATAATAATAAATTTTTTTAAGTAATAACTAATTATATGACTTAGATGAATTTATAATCAATTATTTGTTAAATAAGATTGATTATGTGTTTCAATAACCTACCTTAAGCATATAATTGATTGTATACTTTTGTACACGATGATATTATTTAAAAGTTTAGATTTAACCTATTCAATTATACGTCTTCACTCAAAGTAACTATTTTTTCAAGAAAAAAAAAATCTTATGGATCATGTTATCATGTCATAATCAAATTAAAAATCCAATTCTCCTTTTGAACTTATAAAATTATGTTTAGCACATAATATATTATACTCCTCGATAAAATGTTTTTTTTATGTATTTTACTTTTGAAATATTATATGATTATTAAAATTTTAAACATAATCAATTCTATTTTATATTTAAATAAAATTGATCATATTTAAAAAATTTAATAGATTATAAGAATATTTAAAGAGGTTGCTGATGAAAGTCTAAAAATTAGATTTTGATAGTAATCTAACTTATTATATATTAAATTGCAAACAAATATATCTAAATAATGTGTAAGAATATGAGCTAAAAAATTACTAAAAAGAGGAAAACCAACAACATAAATTAACAACAAATGAACAAAAGACAAGTTGAGCTTGTTATATAAAGAGCAGCATAGTATAACTACAAAAATATGAAGTAAATCATTAAACTTTATACATATGAAATTAGGCATAGGACGTTAAAATGAAGGAGAGGATTCTAAGCTTGCACAAGTCAAATTCTATTGATCTGTTATATAGATAAGCAGGCTCTGATTCACTTGATGATCACCTGCAAAACACACCAAAACTGCATATGAATACCACTAAAACCAAACAAGAATCACAAATTTCTCATAGCAACAAGTAAATAAATCAGATGGAAATACAAAACAAATTTTAAATAAACACAACACAGAACAACCTGTAAAATTAAGTTCTCCAGATTGGTCTAAATATTGAAAGCCAAATCAGATTCTAACATAATCAATGACCAACATTTATTCAAAAAAGATAGGCTTCTATGAAATCATTTTGTCCAAAATATTTCTGTAGATCGTAATTAGAATGTTCTAACATAATGAATGACAAATATTTGAGTCCAGATTCTTTACTAGGTTTTTTGATGTTGTCCTCTGCTGAGCATTAAAAATACACTGATGTTGGTACTCTAAATATCTTTTTAACATATTTTAAAATATCAAAATCAGTGATCATCAGTGTAGTTTGAAGGCACAGCACAGAAGAAATCAACAGAGAATCCAAATTCCCAATATTTATTGGAAAAAGATAAGCTTCCATAAAATTATTTTGTACAAAATATTTCTTTCTTGTCGGTAGATTATAATTAAACATTCAGCAAAACCTTCATATATGAGTTATAATACAAACTAACAAGACAAGCATATGATAAGAAAAAAGAGCAAGAATGTCATTGACCTTCTATATAAAGCTTTTACATTCTCCCCTAACAGAGGACTTTCAAGAAATTCATCACCACACTCTTTCACCTCAACTGCCTCAACTTCAAAAGCTCGATCACCGCAATACTCATTCCATTCAAACCACATTTTTGAAATTAGTTCTTTCTTGAAACAAGCATGGTGATCTTCTTCTTCTGGAGAATCAGCTGATACTAAACGATACACAAACACCTTCTTCTTCTGGCCAGGTCTGAATGCACGACCTATAGCTTGACGTGTAACTGATGGATTGAGATGAACGTCCAAGATAATTATGCGGGAGGCCCCAACCAGTGATATACCCTCTCCACATGCCTTGATTGAGCCAAAGAAGACTTTAGCTTCACGAGAATTGTTGAATTTTTCCATGGACCATTCTCGGTGCTCAGGAGTTGAATCTCCTGAGATTACAAAAATTTCTCTTCCAAGACTCCAGCCTTTCCAGTTAATAGTCAACCTTTCTAAATATTTCAAGGGTAACAGATACTGACTGAAAACTAGAAGCTTCTCCCCTGCTGATTCACACAGATTTAGCATGTTGTGATAAAATTTTGACTTCACACCATCTCTAATATCCAGTTTATCTACCAAATCATCCATTACATAATCAGATATAGGAGTTTTACCACAATTTTTTTCTGCTAGCGGTTTTAGTTTAGGATGCAGATAGACAGCACTTCCTACGGAAGATATCTTGAACTTTCTTGTAGATATTTTTTTTATTTTTGCTACTTCAGTCTTCTGGCTAGGGCTAAGAGTGAGCATTAAAGTAAAATCCACTAGACCGGGAAGCTCATCAAGAAAATCTCCTTTATAATAGTGAAGTACCTTGCTCGTCATCTCACGCAAATCTTGTATAACAGCTATTTTCGTTTTAAAATCAGTGTCCTGCTGCAAAGTGTTTTCAACTAAATTAGAGAATCCTTTCATCCCTGGTATATGAACTCTACTTTGGATGCGCCTCACGATAGGTTTTGATGTTTCCATCTTCAAAAATTTCGGCCGAACAAGATCTAGAATGTTAAACACCTCCCTGACATGATTTTGATAAAGAGTTCCCGACAGAACAACTTTTCTAGGTGTGTGAACTTTTGCAAGGGATTGAACCATATCTGTGTTTTCATTCCTAGGATTGTGTCCCTCATCTAAAATAAGAATTGAAGGAACTTTCAGTAAAATATCTTGGCAACGTAATGATATATCGTTCCCATTATCACAGACAATAGTGGAGAACTGTTTGTATCCTAAGAAAAGAATACTCTTCTTCTCCCTCCATTGATTCAGCACTTCAAGTTGTTGACTTCTACTGTCTGCCTTCACTGTGTAGAAGTCATATAGAGGTATGTTCTCCACTTGCCATATTTGAAACTCCTTTTTCCATGTTGACAATATTCCCTTAGGAAGCACCACTAAGGGTCTTGCATTTGGATACTTGCCTAGAAAACTTTGCATGAAACTGATTATCATGAATGTTTTCCCAGATCCTGGAGCATGGGCTAAGATGCAGCCACCAGGATGGTCACCTGCAAGATTTCTAACAAGAAAATTGAATCCTTCAACTTGATGGGGCTTCATCTGTTTCATGTGTCTAGGGTGTGCTGGGATTTCAGTAACTACGAGGTCATCTTTAACAACATTAATTCCAAATGCATCTGTTTTCTTGGTATTCCATGAATCAGATGCATAAGTTCTTGTGCTGCGTTTAACCTTCAATAAAATTAATATGATAATTAAAAATCAATTTAGAACACTTCCTGTCCTGATCATAATTAATCTACTAATCAAAGATCTTAGTCCAGAACATATATCATGAGAATTATAGACTATGCAATAATTTTATAATGCAACTAGTACCACATGATTCGAATAATGATCTACCTGCTATATAGTATTGTCTTGGTTTAATAAAGAGGTTTGTAAGTCCTTAAATAGAACTAAGATGGATCAAACAAAAATAAATATTTTCCAGAAGGAGGTGCGGAAAACAGTAAATTATCACAAGAATTTCATTAACACAAGTACAGAGAAATTTAACATTTCACTTGTCACATTGTTAGGTCCTGCTCCTCCCAAACTTTCAACCTGAACATCTAATTTTAAACCCTATTCTTGAAAACACAATTTTCAGACGTTCAATAATGTTTTTAACCATTATTTATAAGGAAAAAAGCATGAATGCAGGAACTAGACTCTAACCTTGTACTGAAACTCAAATATGGTTTCAATTTTTCGGTCAATAATTCCACAAACCCGACAAACATAACCAAGATCGTCTTTTAAGACAAAAGAATGATCACAATCATCATCATCATAGTCTTCTTCTGCTTCTTCATCTGGCTGGAGATCAACAGAAACATCCTAGTGGAAATACATTTAAACCAGATCAATGCCAAAGGACATTTTAAAAATGCCACTTATGAGTAGAATTTTAAGTAAGAAATAATGTACACAAAACTGAATTACTATGACTTTTGTGCAAATAATTTTACTGAGCAGAAAAGAAAAACATGGGATATTTACATGTTATATGCAATTCAGACAAGAAGTATAACATATAAAGGTTAAGTGAGAGAGCAAAATAATCAAGGCTAATAATGATAACTATATGCCATAACGCACTACACATAAAATTACATTCACTATGCAAAGAACTGTAGATCTAGAATATGCAATACACAAACAACTTAACCAAGATCAGCTGTCAGAAATGTTAAGAATATTTCAGTGTACATCAGAAAAAAAAAACAATAATAGCCTACATGTACAATACTAACAACAATTGTCCACATAAATTAATGAATAATGTAGTTAACAAGTAACAAACCCACCCAACCAGGCAACTATGCTATAAGAAAAATGTGATGCCTTATCAACCCTCAAAACTAATATGTAGATAACATGGAAGGAAGCATTACAGATTAAATTACATGAAAAAATCATCCAAATGAATAGATGATAAACTAATTGCCAAAGCCAATTATTATTATTGAAAAAATACAACAAATTTAAGTATGATACTTTGGAACATTCTATTGCCATTGACATCTCCTTCCAAATATCTCCTAGACCGTCATCTTCAGTATCAAGCTCATCTTCTTCCTCTTCCTGTACA